CTTAATATATATTTTATATCTGTGATATCGCAACGTGATTAATTAAATTTTACTTTATTTCGAAAAATGTTTTTCGTTCCACGACGACTTTTTCTGTATTCCACTACTGTTTGTTTAATTCTAATCACGTAGGCTAGATTATCTAATGCAGTAAATATGATTAAAAAATGACAAAGAAAAGTGGACTTCTGTGACGACACTGGTTAGAACATTTCTCCCCATAAACTTTAAACTTATCAAGAGGAATATGTTGTCAGTGTTGATAGGATCCCACATATTTTGGTATTGACTGTTAATCTTGTATATATGGTATATTATCATTCTCACACATTTTGGTATTGACTGTTAATCTTGCATATATGGTATATTATCATTCCACACATTTTGTTATTGACTGTCAATCTCGCACATATGGTATATTATCATCTCTCACGCACTTTGTTATTGGCTATTAAGATAAATTATTTCAAATGCTGTTAGCTGTCCATATTGTTGTAAAATGTATAAATACCATGGCTTTCTTTGTCGTTGTTGCACTTCAATACACAGTCACAGTCCAGCCTTTGTCTTTTGATATTTGCGTGCTTTACTAAATCGGAAGGTACGACAAGCAGATAGGCAGATTAGTTCAGGCGCAGACAGAGCAAGGTGAAAACGTCTTCATTCAATTCCCTACAGTTATAACAAATTGGCGACGGGGTTTTACCTTAATTCATTGCAGTTATAGCAAGCAAACGACGACAGTTTTTATTCTGTTCAGCGCAGCTATATAACATTTTTGACTGTGTTAATTACAACCCAATTACAATGTCTATCTCTCTGGACGATCTCAAATCTATCTTGCAGCAGCAGCAAGTTCAGAATGAAGCAGCTCAACTAAAATTAATCGAAGCTCTCACTCAGAAGCTGTCCATTCAAGTTCCATCAACATCTCATTCTGACAAATATGAAAGCATCTCAAATTCCATCAGTGAGTTCAACTACGACCCAATATCTGGTCTCGTATTTGATGCATGGTTCAATCGTTACGAAGACGTCTTCCGTATTGAATGCTACATGTTTGATGATGCTGCCAAAGTCCGATTGTTACTAAGAAAACTTGGTACTGTTGAGCACAACAGATATGTTAACTTCATTCTGCCTAAGAACCCACGTGAGTTATCATTCGATGAGACAGTCACCGTTTTATCACAAATCTTTGGTGAACAGTCATCCATGTTTAATATTCGGTATCAATGTTTTCAGTTGACAAAAATGCCTTCCGATGATTATGTGACTTACGCTGGCAAAGTGAACAAGGAATGTGAAAGGTTCAAACCACACGAAATGACATCAGATCAGTTCAAGTGTTTGATTTTTATTTGTGGGTTGAAGAACCCAGAAGATACTGACATACGAACTCGACTTCTGTCACTCGTGGAACAAGACCCGAAAATGACTTTACAAATGGTGACAGCAGAATGCCTACGTTTAATCAACTTGAAGCACGATACTGCTATGGTGGAGTGCAAACGACAGTCGTCTGAATTTGGTTCAATTAACACAGTGAAAAGTCCTCCGATCACCGTTAAGCACACAGCACGTCAGTCTCAGAATTCAGCTAAACCTCCTTCAGTGTGCTGGCACTGTGGTTCGTGGCATTTTGTCAAGTTCTGTCCTTTCAAGAAGCATAAATGCCGTAATTGTCACCGTTTTGGACATAAGGAGGGTTACTGTACACCGCAGAAAAATCCTTCGGTGAGGAACAGAAGTAGTCGTTTCAAGCCGAAACAATCTCCTCGAGTACAGACCGTTTATACAACTTCCAAAGTCGAGTTCGCCAGCAAACGTAAGTACATAACACTAGATATTAACGGCAAACGTATTCGTCTTCAGTTGGATACGGCATCAGATATCACCGTAATTTCCCGAACTACGTGGCGCAAACTTGGTTGCCCACAGATTCTGCCGACCGAGCATGTCGCCAAGAATGTCTCTGGAGATATACTGAAACTCGTGGGTGAGATAAATTGCCAGGTTCAGTTTGGTGAGCATCACTTCAATGGTGTATGTTACGTTACAAACTACCATGATTTGAATTTGCTTGGTCTTGACTGGTTAGACAAGCTCCATCCAATAAATTCAGTATGCTCTAATGTTTCGTCTTCACCACACAACGTTGTTCCCGGAGATGTATCTGATCAATCTCTCTTGCAACGCCGTCGTCAAAAGCACGCTTCTGTCTTCCAGGACAAACTTGGTTGCTGCAAACTGTTTGGCATCCAGCATATTCGTAGCCCCCCGTATCATCCCCAATCGAATGGACAGACTGAACGTTTCGTCGACACCTTTAAGCGTGCTTATGCAAAAGCGAAGGGGGAGGGAACAACAGAAGAAATTTTGGATAAATTCTTGCTGCATTATCGTACGAATGAAAAAGGACAGTTATGTGTCAGACACACAGATCACGCTCTATCCAGTACCACGCAAAGGTCAACTCGACAAAGAAGAGCTCCGAAACCTTTTCAAATAGATCCAAAAAGCAAGTCCTACACTCTTTACGGGGAGAGGTGATAGGATCCCACATATTTTGGTATTGACTGTTAATCTTGCATATATGGTATATTATCATTCTCACACATTTTGTTATTGACTGTCAATCTCGCACATATGGTATATTATCATCTCTCACGCACTTTGTTATTGGCTATTAAGATAAATTATTTCAAATGCTGTTAGCTGTCCATATTGTTGTAAAATGTATAAGTACCATGGCTTTCTTTGTCGTTGTTGTACTTCAATACACAGTCACAGTCCAGCCTTTGTCTTTTGATATTTGCGTGCTTTACTAAATCGGAAGGTACGACAAGCAGATAGGCAGATTAGTTCAGGCGCAGACAGAGCAAGGTGAAAACGTCTTCATTCAATTCCCTACAGTTATAACAGTGTGGTGATCGCTTAGAAGATGAAATTTTTCAGTAGTGTGAAGCTTACCATTCTAACATAAATATATCCCTCAAATCGGTAAGCATCTGTAGAGGATCACTTGTTTACTCTTCGGAAAACGTCAGTGTACTATCTGCTTCTTACAAAGAACATAACAGCGCCTGAAAAAGCAGAAAGTTTACAGATTTCCAAAATTCAATACAAACATCCTCAATTATCCTTTACTTTTTGATTTTTATTGATCCCTTATACCGATCAACGCACACCGTTTATTGCGGCAGTTCATATCCTCCAACAAGTAGTTATCAGCTTAAATGCATTTCAAATGTGAGCCATTTGTCCATGCGTATAAATCTTCTTCTTGTGTGGATCCTTTTAAGCAATCGTGTAAACACTCACCACTGATTACTTATGTTCTGTTTTAACTACAGTGTCACACTGTCTGTTTAAGCGAACAGAATGTTCGCCTGTTTTTTTTGTTGAAATGCACTGAATTCTATCTAACGCAGTATAATTTTGTCCCTAACCCGAACTATCAAGACAGTTTTCATTATTTTGACCATTAGGAGAAAAATAGAAAAATATACTCAGCACACTTTCTACCTCTAAGAAAAATGAATAAGTGTGTGATGAAATTCAAAACAATCAACGTAGCTATTACAAAACTGTTGTTTTTCTAAACACTCCTGTCAGTAACTTGTTTTCATTATTCTTGGGGAATATTGCCCAGGCAATTCAATTCATAAGGTAAAAAATGTTTAATCAAAATTAATTACTGCTGGAGATAAAAAAACAAATCACTTCTGTTTGGTTTCAGCTAGTTAGAAGGACAGAATTCGAAGTGATGCATAGATTGATTATATTGGTGTTCAATCAAAACAAATTACGTCGTTATGTATTAATTTTTATGTTGAATAATGTTTATTCTAAAAGTTTGTTTTGTTCTTCAAAAGATGTTTAGAGGTACTGTTGTTTTGAGAAGATAGTATGCTACAAGATGTTATATATTATACCAGTTTTATATATATATATATATATATATATATATATAACCGATCCGAATTTAAGATATGTCATATCTCCAGAATTCTATGGTGTTACCTTTCCGAAAAACGATTACAGGGGCTGATGCTGACCAAGGTTTTTACTAAGATGAGTTAACCGGAAATACATCAGATAAGTTGTTTGATATAACGCACAGTGACAGAGTATTTATGACTGCGTGATATCTGGAGTACAATGCATTGCTCTGAATCATATCAAGTGAACTTTAAAGACTTATTAGAAGATGACAGCTGTGAATGATATACCTTCCAATGAGTTTAAAATAAAATGTATCTCCTTTCAAGATGATGTATAATTAACGGTATATTTTCTCTAAGCTTGGCAAGTTATTATATATATATATATATATATATATATATATATATATTAGGCTTTACTAAAAGGTGACTTTTGTGATTGTTTCAGTAGACAATTGATGTGCAGTGTTTGTGTAACTGTTTGGTTAAGCTCTGCACTAAATTCAACGGCGTCAGTGACACGGTGGTTAGGACTCTCGCCGACCATGCACATGGTCCGGAGTTCGATCCCCTGCCGACGCACACCTGATATCTATGGTCGGCCTGCGAAATTTGGGCTACCGACATCACATGCTGAAAATTCCATACCTGTACCAAAAAATACGGTGTGGAATCAAGCTGTAATCAAAAAATACTACTGTACTTCTATTAAAAAAGAGGCACAATCTTAAAATACACATTATGCTACTTAACAGACAAATAGGCATTGATGGTCTTTATATCATGCCCTTCAGTCCACTGTAATGGTAAACTCGAGTACATTTGTTGACTACCATTTAGTATATTGTCTGAACAGATAAAAAAGTTAGTTCCTTAATTTAACAGTTGTTGGTGTATTACTGGAGTATTTCCATTAGAAATGTAAACAAACATTTTAATCTTACAGAAAAGTGAAGAGTGGTGCACGTGTTTAAAACCATTTATTTAATTCATATTTTGAGACTGTCCATCAGCTTGGAGTTTCAATTAATTATTCCACAAACCTATGTTCAGGTTACTCCAAAATTCACTGGATATTCTGTGAAAATTCCTCGTGCTGCTCAACCAGATTTAGACTATATTGCTCCAGAGGCTCAGTTGTATAATTCTATGTCACCACTTGCAGACATGTTTTCTTTGGGAATGGTGGTATGTGCACTGCACAATAAAGGACATTCTCTTATTGATTCAGAGCAAAATCCAAGTGTTTATGTCAAACGAATACCTGAGGTAAGCTTATCATTTCATAAACTTTTTATTTAAGTTTTTGACTATCAACTGATTTTCATTAGTTCTCGACAAATGAGCGTTTTGCCTAACTGTTTTTACACTGCACATGGTTCCTTACTTATTTGATAATTTATGACAAACTATATTCCTGCTGATCTCAATTTTAGGAGAATTGTTGCATCGATTTCATGTCATTTTTTGACCGAGGTCTTAATTTTTCATTAAAAAAATACCTGTGAAACATTTCAATTAATGTAAAATACATGACGCATTCGTGGTTTAATTTTTCAGTTTAATTGAGTGAAAATAAGTTTAAAACTTGGACACTGTGTTAGTGTATAACCCCATTATAGATAAGATTTTATTTTGATTATTACAGTAATATTAACTGATAACCATGTTTCGAGCACAAACTACTGCTCATAATCATATCAAGCTACTTGATATGATTGTGAGCAGAGTATTTGATAAAATGTATAGTTTATGATGAACATTTTGATTATCATTCCATAAGAAAATAAAAATCTAGACAGAATTAATACTGACAACCAGAATATAGTGATTTTAGTCTACTCTAATATTTCCAACTCACTTCTTCACCTTTTTTTCCCTAAACTAACAGACTGTATCAAGTCTAATGAATGAGTGATTTAGTCAATGTTTACATAACATTTCAAACCTCCTAGGAAACGTTATGATCAATAAAGATATAACTAACGGAAGTAATTCGTCATGTTAAAAAAATAACTCAGTGAAGAATAGGCATAACAAACCGAAAACATTAAGGAACACAACACTGGAAGGCTTTGTTGATGAGTTTTTTTTCATTTCAGTGATGTAAAAGTACAGAAAACATTTCTGTTGTTTTTCTTAGAAATAAGCCTATGGAAAGAGATCAATACACGTATATATTGCATTTCAGTTTATTTATCTGAAGTTGTGTTATGCAAATTGATGGGAAATGAATAATCTTCTAATGACTTGATTATCTGAACCAGTAAACGGGCAAAACACAAATCTGTTATCCCTAGTGCGCAGTGAAAATAATAGGTAGATTATCAGCAGATTCCTGCATAGGTAAGTAAGTCATGTTTATTTTATGCGATGTAGAAATTAAATAACTCAATGTTATTCAGAAACGACATTCTAAAGTATCTTTTAAACAGACTTCAAGACACAAAGACAACAAAGAAATAGGAACTCATCTATTGCGGGAATTATAATATGGAAGTATGTTCAACTCGTGGAAATATTAGTTTATTGCCAATGTATTTCTTCTAATTATTTGTTTAATCCAAAATTCTAGGGCTTTATATTCTATTACTTGATCCAGCCTTAGCAACTTCACATATGTCAGCTTTCAGACGCAAATAACTAAACAATATACTACTGTTTTCTGAATCTGGGTTCAAAATCTTAACGTTTGTCTAAAGTGTATTACTTACCAGAAAAGGCAAGTTTAATGTTCACTTTCTGCTTCCAATTTTCAAACTTTTCCAGTATAAGAAGTAGTGCATTATCACACTCCTAGAGCATCATAACTTTCTTCTTCTTCTCTTAATGAAATAAAAAATGTACCGCATGGATTATTTTAGGAAACCTACTCCATGGTATAGCATACTTTTTAATTTACTCCCATTGAGCATTACTTGGGTGATTAGGTGGTGCTTGATGTGCTTATTTCTTCATTCAATGTGATTTTATATTAGGGGAAAATAAAAGGATATTGCATGGGACATTATTTCAATTAATTTTTTGCACTCCAATTGAAAAATACCACCTCAACAGCATGTCTTCATTTCACTTGGTTCTCCGCAGTCAGTTTCAACTGACCCTATCACTGGCAGCACACTCTTATATAATCCTGTAACAACTAAACTGTTATTTTACATTGCAGCTTCACTTAAATCTTTCTCCAGCATACTTTTAATCTACCTCCATTTCCTTCGGCATGTTTATTGGTCAGTAGGTTCTTTTCTACTGGATGACTGCCCACCAGAGTCCCTTGTTGCTTACTTATCGATTTCAAGCGGCCACCTGATTATCATTGTCAAGATACAGCCACTATTAATGAAAGCCTACTATTTGTTAGAAATTATAAATAAGAACCGATTTGTAATTGTTCTTCATGTTGCCAACGTCAACGCTGATTTTAAAGTAATCAACGCATGTTTTGTTTTCTCCATCCTATCTGGAGTGGCTTTCACATACTCAGCCATGCCACCAACCTGCAGATGAGACTATTCTTTCTGTCTATGTAAGTGAATGAAATGACTTCCACTTGATTTCACCCATTCATGTTGGATATTGTTTGTTTGTTGTTGTTAGATGTGTTAGTGTATCTTCATCACTTCCGTCTTTTCTGTGTCCACTTATAGGCCGGTTTTGGATGTCTCTTTTAGCGATTAGTTGGTTTTCGATTTTAAATCTTATAGTTGGTGGAATATGGGGAATAGATCATCAGCAGTATATGGGTTTCTCACGGGCCGTTGTATGATCCAGTTCACTAAAATCTGAGAGGTCACAGGTCATAATGGAAAACTTTGGCTTATTGTTTACTTCCGGAGATAGACCGACTTTTACTAGATATGCATTTTTTACTGTGCTTTCTTTGGCACACAATAGAGGAAGTCATTCGTCTTTAGGCCATCTGCTTGGTGTTTATTCGAATTAGGTTAAAGGAATATCATCAATATTCCTTCATATATATATATATATATATATGTACAGTGTATTGGTGCGCAAAGAGATGTATCATTATTATTATTATATCCTTTAATTCCTAGAGGAACATAGGGCCTCAGCCGCGAGTCTCCGTTGCCTTCAGGTTTCTGCCAACTTTTTCACCCCGCTTCAAGTCTGCCCACATGCTTTCATCTCCTCTTTACACCACCTCCTCCATTTCACTCTTCCACTGACAACCAACTCGCCGCCTGCTTCCCTTTCGGCTTCCACTCGACCAATGGCTTGTCTGGTGATGTCACTTTTATTGGTTTCCTCAGAGTATGGCCAGCCAATCCATCTCCATTTCTTCCTGCCTATTCGTTTCACAATCGGTTCCTGCTGGGTTTGGTTCGCTCATTGCCAGAGATCCCACCCTGTCGCTGATCCTTTGTGGCCGGCCATTTGATCTTGAGTGGTATTGAGCGAAGACAACTGTTAATGAAGGTCTGAAGTTTGTTTCAGATGCTCTTCATGACGCGCAGTGCAAGTCCCTGATCCGTATACTGAGTAGCACTGACTTTACATTGGAGTTGAAAATCCGGATCTTATTTTTGATTCTGAGTGCTGTTGACCTAGATTGCTAAGATTTAATCACAGTGGAACATCATAGATATGCACGAAATGGCGTTTATCAGAACAAAAATAAACTAAAATTAAGGTTTAGTTAACCTATTAACTAATGCTTCTAGCTTTCAGTCAAACACCTTCTGCTCCTATCCGAAAGTGTCCTAAGAAAATGGATTCTACAGACGGCTTCTGACTGAAATTGCCTGATAGTTGGAAACGATCTTTAAAGTACAGTTTCCCACTTTTTCAGGAAATATTTCTTGTAGAATTTAGATTCATTTATAATAACTCTCATGTGGTAAAATGAAATAATTTCCCTGATCGTACTCCGCCTGTTGTGGTTGGATAGCAGAGTTGTACCATCGCCAACTGCTGGCTACATTACCACGTAATATGCATACATCATACAGAGGGTTAAATGAAGCCAAATTAAGAAAGATGAAAAACGGAAATTTAGATACGGGTAAAGGTGAATATATCATAACGGTAACAGATCACAATTAAACCTCTTTTCTGGCACTTAAGCCTGTCGTACTTTATTTTACTTGTAGTATAGATATCTATATCATTTGGAAATCCTATTGTTTTAACCAGTTTTCTGTCAACCAGATTTATTTAACTGTTAAAAGTAACCGTCAAAATGCAAGAATTATAGTAGTAATTCTAATGTATATTCTGTAAAAGCCTATTTGGAAGAACGATTAGAGTAAAGTATTATCATAAATAAATAATAAATACGGATGGGAAAAATATCAGGGAATTGTGAACATAGAGGTTTAATCCTGTGATCACATTTAAGGACAGCATCTAAATACTTATTCATTTAGTATACACCTATCAGTAAAGTGCTTTGTTTAACGCATATATAAACATCAAGACAAAAAAATTATATTAACAGCACAAGAATAAAGCATCCCCAGTGTAACTGTTAACACTATACAAAATAAAACAAATTGGTCACACTATCAACTTGGGAATTGTCGAGTGTGTCTGAATACAGATAAATTGATAACTCAATATTTGACGAGCAATAAACAATGAAAAACAAAGCATCCCCCAAACTATATATAAGCGCCATTAGGTGAAAAATCCATGACCACTTGTTTCTGTCTTTGTTGAAAGTCAACCAGAATTATAAACATATTCTGATGACTCAAGCAAACTTAATGTAAAACGAGCTATATTTCAGGTGAATATTGAACCAAGATGTTTGAATGAAGCATTTAACACCAACCAGCTCAGAGAACACTATTTATTGCAAAACAGTAAAATCCATTTAAGGAAATAGAACAGCTGTGGTCTACGTAACCACAGAAAATGTTTCTGTGCTTTCCAGTTAATTATATCACTAATCCTAAACTTTATAGGTGTCGACAATTACATCACCATAGATATATCTACCTATAAAAATTCACAGTTTTTCCAAAGAACAAGTCAAAACTATGATAACATAGAACTTCTTTTCATAGAAGCGGCTTTTCGTTATTTTAAGAAAGAAATTGGCTGTGCTCGATAAGCACACCTTTTCTGTCTATTAAACTCTACAGTGTGACATTAGAATGAATTCTGAAGAAAATACTGGACAAAAAAGTGTTCGTTTTAACTTGACTTGTCAGCATTTACTAACTTGGTAGGAATTAAGTAAAAATGTATAACTCAAATTTCCACCCCAAATGTGATCCTTGAACTACTGTTTTTAAATCTACACA